CTCTCTCTCTCTCTCTATCAATTATCCCTTTGTTTTGTTGTTTCAAGTATTAGGGTTTTGCTTTTCTGATTTGATTACTGATATTCATTGAACATTCTCTCATTTCCCTTGTACGGTCTCTCTCAGTCCCTCGCTGCTGCAGTTTGTTGATACTACCAGGTAACATGACCGTGACTTATTCTGATGATGTTTCTTTGGGTAACTTTTTTCCTGTATTGAATTTTGCCTTCTCGTGTGATTTTCGATCGAATTGGTTTTGCTTGCTGCATTCCTTGCCCTAATGGTGGGAAAATGGGGCCTGGGCCAAGAACGGGTTCCTTCGATGAAATTTCTGTTCCCCAATCCTTGTTACCTGACTTGCTAATAGTTTTCTTAGTACCCACAATGACGAATCGTCAATAGCTTCATAATCATGTCGATGAATTGACTTTTGCACCCGATTTACTGTGAATAGGCTTAATCTTGGATTTCCTAAATCCTTTGTTTTTTCTTTTAGTTCTTTAATATGTCACATTTTCTTTCCTTCTGTATTTTTAGCCGTGGCCTCGAACCTAGAAAAACTGCCAAGCGCGAACCGAACCAGTCTTTCCGTTTCAAAAAATCAATCTTTTTTTTTTGTTCATTTTTTTCTATTCTAAAATTTCTTAGGATTATTTATTCTCAAAATATCGATGATACTGATATAAAAATTATAAAATGGTAAGCTTGGATTGAATTCTGTTGCGGAATTACGGAACCTAATAACAGTATTTATTATTATTTTTTTTTTGTGCAAAGGATAAGAGTGTAAATTTTCCTCCTTCCAGTACCCTTTTTTTTTCTGTAACGTTTTTACTTATTTCCTGTTATTTAGTTTTTTGGGTTTTCCTTGTAATTTTCATTTATCAACCAAATACAGTGGTTTTTTTTTTTAAATGGAAAGTGAACATAAATATCCAGGAATATTTTCGATTTTACTTATTTATTTAAATAACTTTTGGAAGTCCCTACTGCTAAGAAAGCTAATCTTTTGAACCTTTGAGGCACCTTCTTAGACAAATTCGGTATAAAATTATTTTTTTTTTTCACTTTTCAGTTCCTTATATCAATCCTATTGGGAATTCTTAATAGTCTAGGAAGAGTAACGAGTGGTAGATTCATAATGTTCTGTTCTCTCTTTTCGTAGTTTCATAAGATTGTTACTGAAACTTGATGGATTTTATTCCTGATGTTTATGGGGTTTTCAGTTGAGGAGAGTTTAAACTAAAGTTGGTTTATCTTCCACTTGTATTTTGCATTCGATTGGTTTCATGGTATTTCCCTGCAGTTTGATCGGAGCTGAGGTGTCACAGTGTCTAAAATGGAGAGTAACGATGATGCTGTAAAAAAAACACAGTTGGTGGAAGCGCGAGCAAGAAATATTAGTCACAATGTCAGGTGCATTGAGTGCGGGAGTCAATCCATTGAAGATTCACAAGCAGATATTGCGATTCTCCTCAGAAAGGTACCAATTATTTAGATATTTCCAATTGAGGGGTTCTATGTTCTCTTTGTTCCTATCAAACCGAATAACTTGTGAAACCATCACAATCTAATTTTCTAATTCTTCCACTAGTACTTTGCGCCAGAAATCCTCCAGCACATGGCAAGTACCAATGTAGGTTGAGAGTTTCACAAAAGATGGTCCAAGCTTTTGTGATAAAGGGGCAGCAATGTAGCATTACACTAGTTCATTATTTTATTTGCATAAAATACCTAAAGGGAATAGAAATGAATTAGGGTTTTTGATTTTTGGTTTACTATGCCTTTAGAGTTGGTGTTGGGACGCAATAAATCTTCCTGTGGATTACGAGACTACCTTCAAAATAACCATCTATGCTGGCAGTCCCGGGAAATTCTTAAATGATGCACATTTGTCAATAAACTCCACCCCTTATGGCCTAACGATGGACGAGAAAGACTGATTTAACGGATCATGAACCTTTGCTACATAATGATTACTCACTGATTTGTTGAGTTCTATATCTTAGGCCAATAATTTTTAGATCACTATTTTTATGCAATGGTTTTGCCTGATATTGGGTTGTGTTTGTAATATCACCATAGTTGATCCGTGATGAGATTCGATCTGGGAAATCAGACAAGGAGATCTATAGAAAGCTTGAGGATGATTATGGGGAGACGGTCCTTTATACCCCAAAGTTTGACCTTCAAACTGCAGCATTATGGCTATCACCGGTAAGTTTATATTTGGTAAGAGTGACAAAATTAAGTAAATATTTATGCTTATTTCTTTTAGTTTTGGTCTCAAATATGTTACTTCCAAATAGGTGTTAGTGGCTGGTGCTGCTGCAGGAGTATGGGCATACAATAAGCACAAGCAAAAGACTAACGTTCACATCATGGCTTTAAATCTGGTCAGGGGTGTTCCATTGACACCAAAAGAGAAGCAAACTATGTTAGATCTCCTCACACCTCCACCTCCTCAGAGAACTGCTTCTTCCTGGTGGAGGAGTTGGCGAAGGCAATGAGGCAACCATTTTATTGATAGCTTGAACAAAACAACAATTCAAAAGAGTTCCAGAGTGGGCAGAAGAATAAATTAGATAACAAATGTGACAATCATCATTGATCAAGGTTAATTTTATATTTTGTTTTTGTCCTAGCAATCGTGATTTGATTTTGTGTGCTGTATCCAACGATCAATTTGTGATTACTGTTAGAAATATTACCGAGAAATATCATAGAAATGGTACTTGCACCAAACAATTGTGTTTATATTTGTTTCTTATGGCTAGTTTTAGACGCCCACCCAGCTAGGTTCGTTGACTTTTCTGAAGGAAACGAAGTGCTTGGTACTTGTTTGTAATTTTTCAATCATTATTGAGGCTCAAATGGTGGATCATGGCCGTTCCATGCGCTGGCATAGGCAAATTGCTGAAGGAATGTCAGGCGGGCTGCTATGTCCACTATGCAGTCAACCACCAACACAGACAGGAAAATGTTTTGGTGTTCAGATCTATCTTAATTCCATGTAAATGCAATTATGCGTTCAAAAAAATGGGCTACGCTGTTTGCGACAGTTTGGGGAAAGATAGACTATTGCAAGTCGTCTCTCGCCACCCTTCACGATGTTGACTTCAATTTAAGCGATGAACTTGGCTGACACAACTCTTCAACTTGATTTTATTAATCTTGTTTTTTATGATTGATGAGTGGAATGATACGGATGGTGGGAGACTTTGACATTGTAAAACTCCTTAAAAGACCAACCTCCAAGCAAGCAAGGTACAAAAACATATTGCATATTCATCTTCGAGTAGAGAAACTTCTCCTACAGATCAGATGGATAGAAGCCCAGCTACTGGTTATGGTGGGAATACTTATTCTGCTCAACCTGGATTCTCAGGTCCAACCATGTATCAAGCAAATACAGCAAGCCCAGCCCCTGGTTATGGTGGAAATACATATTCTGCTCAACCTGGATTCTCAGGTCCAACCATGTATCAAGCAAATATAGCGAGCCCAGCCCCTGATTATGCTGGAAATACACAATCTGCCGAACCCGAATTCTCAGGTCCAACCATGTATCAAGCAAATACAGTTCGGGGGACTGTTTGGAGCACTGGATTATTTGATTGCCATGAAGATGAGACAAATGGTTAGTTCTTGCAGATAATGTGGCTGATGGGGACTGTATGTATATTCTTAAGGTTGTCTGTATAGTTTGCAACTTTGTTTCTGTGTTTTAAACTTGTCTATATGGACTGTCTGGTACTTTGAGAGGGACAGTTTCATCCAACACCAGAAAAAAGGTATTATTTTTCAGAAGAGGCCTGTATTGATGTCAAAATGGTGGTTCAACTTCATGCCTCTAGGGGTAGGAGGAATCAAAGTCTTCCTGTTTTTTAACACATTTCTTTCACTGTTGAAATTACAAATTTCTTGTCCTTTGAAGTTATGGATCCTTATGATCTGGAGATCCCAGTTTAATGTGTATGGTTTCATATTGAGGATGGAGTACATCTTTTACATATTAATCTGTGTTGGCAGCGGTCATGACAGCATTCCTACCTTGTGTGACATTTGGACAGATTGCAGAAGTAATGGATCAAGGAGAATTGAGTAAGGGCACCCTTTAACCTCAACTCCTTACTCTTTCCAATTCCTTCCTGTTGTTCTCATTATGGTGACCATTTCACAACTTCCAATTCTGTTAAGTGTTAAGTCAAGATATTATTATATTTTTAGATGTGAATTGTGAACTCTACGTATCTTGCTGCCTTCAAGCAACTAATAGATGATATATTTGTGATACTCATTGCAGCCTGTCCTCTGGGTAGTCTTATATACGCTCTGATGATGCCTGCCTTGTGCTCTCAATGGCTCATGGGCTCAAAATATCGAACGAGACTGCGGAATAGATACAATTTGGTAGAAGCTCCATATACTGATATAATCTCTCATGTGTTCTGCCCATGCTGTTCACTATGCCAAGAGTTCAGAGAACTCCGAAAGAGAGGACTCGACCCAGCTCTAGGTACTTATAATTCTTTCCTTTCTATTTATAAACTGAAGAACTCATTGAGGAACTTTGTTAAGCGGTAGCAAAGATCAGCCCTGCACACATGAATTAGCTTCTGCCTTTCAAGGGTGCCTTCATAACTCCCAAATGATATTGTAACTTTGGGGATAATAACTGCTTTCAGACTAGGATATGTTTTTTTTTTGTCACAAGCATAATTCTAAAAGATAAATTGAAAACTTATCGTTACACAATGAAACCGTAATTGTTATAATTAAGAAATGAATGTCATACAAATCACTTCTACCAAGTTTCCCGATCGCAGCTTAACTTTGACACTATTCGACTTGCATCATGCTGATGGATGTATAATTCTGAAAGAAGTGTGCTTAGGCGCTAGCCTCACCTGATTGATAACTTTACTTTCATTGTCTTGAAACTCTGCATTAGGCTTTAACCATCACTATCTTAACAAATTTATTTCTACTTCATAATCATATATTAAATTTCTATTTGTATGTTTCTATTGGTACTTAAGAAAAACCTACTGGCAAGTGTGAAGGGGAGGAAAATAAATTACGAAAAGCGTCTATTTAAGTCGATCATTTCTAAGATGTAGTTCGAGTTTCCTCTCTGGTTTGCAACTTAATTAAGGATTGTTTCCCAAACTTGTGTTACAGGATGGAATGGAATTTTGGCTCAAAGACAGGCAGGAGTAGGACAGCCTGAAACAGTGGAAGTTCCTCCTCCAAGACAAAACATGTCATTCTAAACACCTGAAAAACATGTCAAATCATTCTCAATATCAATTGTATGTGTTTGTGTGTTGTCTCTTTTTTTCCTCACTAGACTTTTAATTTGTTAAATTTGTGATTTGTTTTTTTACCCCTCAAATCATGTGAGAGAATTGGCCCACTGATTTGTACGTTTGTTCAATGTTGTACCTTGTCTGACAAATCCTTGTGGCCTAGAAAGCAACAATTAATGAAAAATACGTCCAATAGTTTAGGCATGTCTAGCTTACGAAAATATCATATATTTTGTTATATTTGGTTAATCTTTTACAGTATGATGAAAATATTATGTAGTTGACATGTCCATGAAAATTTAATATCTACGGTACGATTATCTCTTCTATCAACGATTCTAATTTGTTTAGAATATAGTATTATAGATGTGACAGACATTTTATTTTATTTGATTTTTTTTGCATTTTTTATTTATTGTTTTTATTTATTTTAATTAATACAATTAAAATCGAGAAGGAACGTTAATCCAAATAAATTGAATCTGTCAAAAAACTTCACACTTGTGGTTATGGCTTGGGGCAATGGTTGGTGAGATCAAATTGAATGAACAAATCTCATCTGACTAACAGCAATCAAATAATTTTTTTTTAGTATATTTGAATCCTCTTCTGGTGGGACGAAAATGTATATTTTAAATAGTTTAGCTATATTCAAGAGGTCTAATATAATCAAATAATTAGATTTTAATATACGTATTTTTTTATTTTAAATATAATGAAGTAAAAATATTTAATATTTGCGCATTTTTCTTTATTTTAGAGTGAGAAACGTGTTGAATTCAGGAACGTGTCTAAATATGTTCTTAAGTGAAAATAATAATAATAATAATGTGACTTTAGATTTTATTGCAAGAAGGGTTATGAATTATTTTATTAAACTTTAATGTTAAAAAAAAAGTAAAATACACTTTTAATCCCTTAGTTCTAGGATAGGTGTTTATTTGGTTCTAAGGCCCAGTTTATCGACTTTGTAATCCCAAGTGTAATCCTATTAATGTACCATTTTTACCATTTCTCTCTCATTTATAAATTAAATCCATATAATTTTTAATTAGTTTTTTTATACTTTTATAATTTCTTCTCTATTTATACTCCAATTTTTATTAGTTGATGTGATTTTATTATATAATATATTAATTAATATCAATAAATTTTTAAATAGAATTATTACTTCTAAATATTAGAATAATAAAACTTAGTAATACTTAGTAATATGTTATATTAAAGTTTGATGGTCCTGATAAACAATATTTTATTTGATGAAATTTTATTTTAATTATTCATTATCTATTAATATTAGATAAATTGTTATAATAAAAAAATATTTACTATCAATAATATAGTAATAAATTAAATTAAAATTTATTATTATTTTAATTTTAAAAAGATTAGCACAATAATATATTTGTAATTAGCTAAAAAGGAGGAAGAGATATATTAGTAATTGTCATATATCTGATTCTGATTCCGATTCCGATTCCGATTTCAGACAGTTTTAGTAAACAATATCAAATGAATTCTGATTACGATTCCATAAAATTTATAGTAAACAATATTCTTAGCCTCCGACTTTTGGAAAATAGTTCTAAATAGTCTCAGACTTATTTGACTTGACTAACGGAAAAATAACGTGACATAATTGAGTTAGCAAATTTTAGATTACATGAATGTTAAATAATTTTATATTATATGTTTTTTTTTTTCTTTTCTTCTCTTCCTCTCTCTTCCTTTCATCTTCTCCAATATCGATGATTCCATCCTTTCTCTGAAACACCGTAATTTTCTTAAAAAGGAAAAAAAATAAATTTGAAGAAGAGTGGGTTTTTCATCACATGGTCCCATCATGTCTCTCTTCTCTCTTTCACTTTCTCTTACTGCTGCCATTTATCAAAACCTCCGTTTCTTCCATCGGGCGGCTCAAGATGATACAGGACTGCAAAACTTTGATTTAGTGGTCTTAATACAAAAAATATAATCTAAAATTTATTTTTCTTAAGATGCAAAATTATGTATTAAAATTTGATAATCCAAGTTCATTGATATATCATTTTCAATGAATAATATGACCAATCCATTTAATCATGTGATATAGTTGACCTTAAATATGATTAATTTTAATTTTGAAAAGGTTCTTTCAACAGAAACAACTATTACCGATATCGTTAATAATATTTTGTAAGCAATATATGCATTTGTAAAAGCGTTTACCTTTTTATATAATTTAATATTTTAATAGAACAATCAATTTAATTTTACAAGACTTCTCTTAATATTTTTAATTTAAAAAATTAATCTAAACCTAGTTTCAGTAAATGTATCGTGTTTTAATATATTTTCAAAATTACTCCGATATCTTTTTAGATTATCATTAATGACTTAAAAAATTTCATATCAAATAAGAAGTTAAAAGATATTTCTAATACGTAAAATTGAATCTTGCGAAGATCGTGTTTCTTAAATATCAACATTCTCATCAAATTATTTTTTATTTTTCGAATCGTTATTTTTTCATGAAATATTGATTGTATTTTCATATCATTTGCAATTTTCTTTAGCAATCCTTTTTCTCTATACTTCCTCACTCTAGTTTGCTTTTCATGATTAGATGCTTCATTTATGATTATTTCATCTCTTGATTTGTTTATATTTATCATTTCTTCTATAATTTCATCATTTTTATTACTTTTACTTTCAATGAAAAATTTATCGATAGCACCTTTTCAAGCTTAAGTTTTTCTACTTTTCTTTTCTTTTATATTTTCATATCTAGATTCATATTTTCACATATTGATATTCTAAGTAAGCAAATCTCTTGTATTAGATTTTGAGCAATCAACAATATAATAATTTATAAAAAAAAAAAAGTAAAAATTTTTTAACAAAAAACTTGGAACTTTGAAGTCACCAGGTTGAGTTGAGGAGATAAGAAGTTTCGATTTTTACTCTAACAATTGATAATATTGTGAGACCATACAAATAATGAAGAGGAAAATTTGATATTTAAGAGAAATTGAGAGTGAGAGAGGGATATTAAGTGTATCCTAAGTAATATATTTATGAAGGTTTTTTTATAGAACTTGAAAAGTTTTGGTTAGTGAAAAAAAATAATAAAAAGATGAAAAAATATGGAAGGTCTCCCGCATTTCCAACTTATACTTGGGGAAAATTTATTAACAAATTTGAAATGTAAGCCAATCAAAATTGAAAGAAATTTATGAGCCTATTAATTGTAGATTTTTTTAGCCGGGTGTATTTTCAATATTATAAAAAAAATTATGAATTCCTCCCAAAAAAGTTATGAAAAGTAATTAGTAAATTATTTTATATTTTAAAATTAATTTATAATTAAAAACTAAATTAAATAAATACCAATATTATATATTATAGGAAAAATATGAGGCCTTCCTAAAACGGGGCCTTAAACGGTTACCTCACTCGCCTTGAGCTTAAGCTGGTCATGATCGGAATTCCCCACCCATTTCCCCTCTCTCTTTCCTTCCACGATGTCTCTTTCTGGA